CAACGTTGAAAAATGCCCCGGTCCGAAGTGGTTAATGACGATACTTTTCACAAACAGTTGACGAACAGTTTGCCATCCAGTTAGGGGAGAAACTGCCCATGTTTTTCCACACAATCAAGGGGCTACTGCCGTGATGTGACACTAGTCATTTTATAGGTTTCTCAAATTTGTTCACTGGAAATGTTTCTACGAAGGGCTACTCATTGGCTTATTGCATGTACTCCATCATCCAAGAAGAAATTTAGAACAGCAAAATAAACAAACTTTCAGCAGTTTGTGAACAAATCTATGCACTCATTGAAGTTTTCTCCCTGGAGTGACATCAGAGTTCTGCTCAAGGATATGGAAATTCCCATGAGCACAAACACCCAAGATACCAAAATACCCTTTAAAATAACTAACCAAAAATATGATAAATTGGAAACACAAAGATGTCTACCGTATTTCCAATGGTTGTAGAAACTGCATTGAACAGACCCTTTTAGATTACTTCTACTTCTGTGAGCACATCTCAGTTCACTTGCTCAAACATGTAAACCCAAGAGTTCTGTTCTTCTTTTACTGTACCCAACTGACCTTTATAAAGCTAACATTCATCTCCTTAGCGGTGTAACCCCTTGACAGATTCCTCCTAACATACATGTCGTAGTCACGGACTAGTCTAGCGATGATGTCTGATGTGGAGATGCCCTCTGTGCGTTTGGTAGCTACAAACTTTCCAGCAGCCTTGATGTCCTTGTAGACATCATTCATCTGCATACCTGGAGTGTTGTATGGAATGTCGTCGTGTGCAACAAAGTCGATCTACAGACCATGGCAGATAAAGAAAGATATTGTCATCTCTGGGCAGGATGTCAACCTTGATGATTGGTGTTTTCTCCCGGGGGGGGGGGAATCTGTACTTGACAGTGAAATCAAAGGTGCCATTTGACCCCTAGGATGAACAACTAAACACAGGTCACATTTCAGAGGATAACTGTCTTGCTGTAGCATGCTACTTTTCTTTTTAGTGTTCTCTATACATTGGTTGGAAAGTGTGTCCATAGCAACATGTGCAAACATGAGGTCTCCGTGGCTAGAGTTTTCAGGTCTCCAAACATGGCTCCCACCACATTCTCTGCAGCAAAACACACTGTAACTTTCAAAGTTTTGACTAGTGTCGTGGGTTAAAGCTATAGGAAACTTTCATTTAAATAGTCCTGGTGCAAACAAAAACGAAACTAAGTTTGCACAAAATGGCCTATACCAGTCCTGACACAAAAGCCCAATGTGACCAAGATCATGGGTCACAGTGTGAGACTTTATCAAGCATGCTGACAAAGTTGAGCCTTCAAACATGGTGCCTAGTATAACCCTCAGTCTCAACACACTATCAAGAACAGTATAAGGTTTGTAAGTGTGACATCACTTCAGTTTAAACCACACCCACTGCACACTGAGTTACAATGAACCATTGAATCTAGAAGTTAATGCACATTACAGGCTTCAACCTTAAGTTTCAGAGGGTCAAGGCCACTTGGCCTTGAATACTCCCAAAAACCAAAGGGCACCAATGCCAATTGAAAGGGCACCATGGCCATTTTGAAACTTTTACTTGTTGGTGACAGACTTTCCTTCAATTTCAACTTGATGTTTAACTTTCAGCCTGCAATTTTCATTGTTTCTGTTCACATGCTGAGCAGTGGCACTGCTTGAATTGTAAACAGTAAAAATAAATAATACTGCAGTAACTTTAATTTACCCTTTGGTGTTGAGTTTTTTTACTTTTCATGATGCCAAAAAGGCAACACTGTATTATGAAAATCAATGTACTGGTTATTACAAACAACGTAATTCAAGCAAGTCGGTCACTGAGTCACAAACATTTATCAATATAAAAGCCTGCTGGCTTCCGAATAAAAACATACCAGTACAGTGAAATAGCGAGGAAAAAACAGACTGGGTCGTACTCCTGTCCGCAATCCCAAAATAATAGTGATTCGGTCTCAATAATGCAATGTACAGAATCCAATGGTCCAGAATGTGTAATTCTGTGGTGCGACTTGTAACCAGTCTATGTATAAAAGTAGCCTGGTGCCACATTTTTAGAATCACACAACTCAACTACGTTTACATCGTTGCTATACCATGTTGTATACGGGCGATGCAAAACCTCCGGAAAAAAAAAGTGCTCGGTGCAGCTGCACGGCCATTGACAGAAACGCTAGTGCTAAACGGTAACTTGAAAGTTGAATACAACTTTAAAATACATGCTAGGCGCCTAGTGATCATTGAAGAAGGGCACGTCGGCAAAGTGGCCAAAAGGTACGCGCTATTTTTAAAGGACATCACGGCAATTCACTGGGATATCGCGGCAGTGGCTGCTGGTGGGCACTGTAAAGATCGAAGCCTGGCACACTGAGTGTTCATCCAATTGGACCTTGCATATAGGATTATACATAGTGTATGCAAGTGTCAGACAAAGTAACTGAAGAACCATATGGTGAGATCAGGACAGAGATCAGGTCACAGGGATCATCCCCCTCCTTTCAGACGGGCATATCAGAGTCATGCTGAAGCAAATACAATTAAGAGCAACGCGAGTCCATTCAAATAGACATTGGATTTATACAAGCATACTTAATTCAAGCTGCATGCAGCACTGGAGATTAAATGTTACAAACACAACTTGCTTCTTGCTGAGTCACTTGTTGATACAATTTTCTGTAAACATTTGGACGATGAAGTATCTTGAAATGTGGCATTGAAACCTAGGTCATATTGATGAACAATACTCATATTACGGATAAGCTTTAACCAACATATGGACATTAAAATAAACCAAGGTTATGTTAATGAAAGAAGTACTTGTATGGATCAATTTTTGTAGACCTATTGATATTAAATAACATGAAGCCTGCAAGCAAAGGCCACTTTGATGCTAACTTTTGCTATCATTCTTCCAAATTCAATGACATAGCTTCTGACCTTGTGTTCTTCAATGTACTCTGGTGTGACTACCCAGGGCGCATCACATATAACCTCATCAACATAGCGACAGTGTCTGACTGCTTCATAACGTTCCCATTCACTAAGGACTGTGTTGCCTTTTAATCTCCTTGTCAGCTCATCACTGCAGACTGAGACAAATAGGCATTTACAAAAGAGAGAAAATTCATTGAGAGCTAACAGGTAAAAATAAAGTACATTTCATACTGGTAAATCCTTTAGTATTCATCAATTCTTGAAAAAAGGACAGTTTATTGGAACTTTTATCCAAAGTTTGCATTCAATATTCAGGCTATCATTCAGAGCATCCATTTTTACTTTATGTGGTTCTCATTTCTGATCAACTGTACTTTTACCTCCAAACTACAGAAAAACAAATTCTTTAATATTGCCAACCCTGTCTGCAATTTCTGACCAAGAAAATAAGGAAAAAAGGACAAGCTTTCCAGATTTATGTGGAAAAATACTGATAGTAATGTCCAATGTGGCAGTAGGGTATTCACAAATTTGTTGGCACGCACTATTGACCTTATGAACAGTATACAATGTGTGAAACATAGCAAAGCCCATGGTGCATCAGGGACTGACATGTTTTCAACTTGTACGTCATTACAGCACTTTACTTTTTGAGTATTTTAGTCTAAAAGAGCCAGGGAAGAGGGCAGAATCCACCTTCCCCCAACAGTTTTTGATATCACCACAATGCATTGTTTTCTGGAACTGAACCTTTAGAAGTTTCTAGAGGAACTTTGTGGCCATTTTGACACCAACTTTGAGAAAACTGAACATACCGCTGTTGCACAGTGCCCATTTTTCCGAGACAGGTCAGCTAAGAATGTATATTTTTTCCACTGTGGTCCTAAATGCACAAGGGCTGACACATGTAGCCTTGAACTTCGAATGACCGCAACAACAAAAGCATATGTCTAATTGAGTACCAACTTCACATTTTGTAATGATAAGGAATGCCTATACATGCATACATATCAAAACTAGGAAAAGAAAAGAAAGATCAGCAAGAAGCCTCACCTCCAACTATGAGATAAACATTGGGGAGACAGTTTTTGGCTTGCATGAGTGCTCTGGCATGTCCAGCATGGAAAAGGTCAAAGATGCCATCTGCATAAACTCTGATAGGTCTAGAGTCTGCGGTTAGATGTTACAAAAGAAATGGTAAAGCCAAATAATTATGGTGAGTTCTGCTATTACAGTACTTGATAACAGTAAAATGATATAAATAAGTGGAAGTACTACACAGTTGGTAGATGTACGTGCCACACTCGGTATACAGCCACAATCTCTAGATACATGTATATGGAAATGCACTATATAATTAACACACACACGCAAAGGTGGCATGAGTGAATGCAAAAAAAGCAAGCATACATTCTTTCTGACAAAGATATCCTCATACAAGAAATATGCAGAATAACATAAAACTGCACATGAGCTCAGCTTAGTCCAAAGCTTATATCTTATCTCTTCAGCTAATCCCAAAGTACAGTAGAACTTTGGCAAATCTTTTGCTTGCATAGTTGGAATGCCTAACTACCTTTAACATCAATGACATTCTAATCACAGCTTGGGCCTACCGTACAAGGAGTAGGCCGCGCATGTACATGTACTTCTGGTAACAACTGACTACAAGTGTTGTACAAAATTAAGTTAAAAGGTTTAAACGAGACATACCCTAAGCATGGCGGTCAACCCTGACTTAAATTAAACCAAAGGGGGGTGGGGGCCAAGGAAGAGAACAAATGCATACTAAGCTGTAAAAACTTTGTTTCACTTCCCAATCTGACTTCCAGTGAGAACTTGAAGATGGGACATGGAAGACAAAAATAATACATTCAACAAAATCCACAGATTTCCATGTTATGTACTTTTTTTTAACATACAAAGAAAGCGATGTCTAAAACATCATGCAGACATTTGTGATGCAAGCCATGTTTGAATGAGCAGAGGTGGATGCATCAGCAACTGAAAACTACTATTCTGAAGAACTGGTACACTGAACATTTCTGTGGATCCAATGTAATGATGTCATTCATTTGCCATGCTTGATCTTCAAATAATAACCAAACGCCACTGAGCAACACAAACTGTGACCCGGATGTATAAATACGCCCAGTAAATCCCCATTTGGGTTCACTCGATGGGTGTGCTGAGTTCTTACAAGGGTACATCAGATTGTTACGCCCCTGTATATAGGCACATGATCCCGGCACATCTGTGCAGACAACCGTGTGCGTGCATGTGCATTGTGCTTTTCCTTAGTCATGGTATACAATGTCAGTTTTGATGTACGCAAAAGAAAAGCCGGAGAAATGATGCAGTATCTGCAAAGTGGTCGGTATCCTCCTGGGTTAATAGAATGTGCAGAAATCAGTAGGTCGATCAATCGCTGACAAATGTGTGGCGTACCTGTGTGTGACTGAATAAATCAGCACACCAGATAAATGGGGACGCTGCAGCAAAGTGCGTATTAACCAGGTGCATTCTGGAAATCCAAGCACGGTCATGTTTATTTTAGTGGCGTTGCGTTGTACATGTATACAAACTGAATGATGAATGACATTTACCATGAGGACCATTCTGAGCTTGTTCATAGGTTACTGGGTAGAAGTTCCATCTTTCTTTCTCTTTGATAGACTCCTGAGTTCCTCCAATGATAGCAGGCTTCAAGCAACTCTACTGAAGCAAAACATCCAGTTATCATCATCAGGTTGAAAAATGCAGACTGGACTGTTATGCTTATATATCAATGCTTGTCAAGGTTGCAATTTGGCTTTTGGGAATTAATTTTGGCTTTGTTTGATGTTGCGGCACCTGAAACACGATTAAGTTTCATTGGCACCTACAATTTGTCAAAAAATACAGTGCCAACATTGGCAAAAACAAGTCAAATGTCTCTATGTTCATGTGATTTAGATGTACATGTATCAAGAATAGCTGCCATCACACAACTGCCTACATTCTCAAAAAGAAGTGTAAAAGACATTGTTAGGAGAAAACAAGTACTCACCGTGCATGGCATCTTAGCCGGTAGTTCGCCCTCACTGGCCTCTGTCTCATTCAAACTGCTGCGCTTCCTTTTAACGGACATTGCTGTTGAGTTGTCTGAAACAGAAATATGCCAAAAGGTGTGATGATGAAGACTGGGTATTTTCTTCCTTTTCATCAAGTTAGATTTGCTCAGCATGATGATTAAACTATCAAATCCATTTAGAGGTAAGGAGTCCAGGGCACAAACCTGAATCACATTGGAATGAGTCAAGCTCCAATTTACGTAGTTCCAAGCAGCACTACAAACACCATGCACAAGGACCTCCGCGGCCCCTCCCCCATGGTATAAAATAGAGGTATGACAAACACTGTCCAGGAGCATTCCTGTGTGAACACTGCTTCAGATTTGTACACATTCTGATGAACTGACAGTGTGTACCAATCTCTGAGTAACAGGTTTGACATATTGTATTATATATGCAGACAAAACCTGGTTGTTGTGAGCGGGCCAGCAAGGACAATTTTTGTCCAGCTTACATGTACATGTACTGTAGGAGATAGAACTTTGGAAATGGCAGCATACCTGGAGTATGGACTGGTCGTGTTATAACACACTATACATGTGCCATATACATGTATATACACTGCCGTGCAAAAGTCCAATTGCACCTGAGTGCACAACAAATTGTGTGTTTTTTGCATGAAAAGAAAAAATAAATTTCTACAAAAGCAATACCTGTCTTATGTTGATATGCTTATTCCATTAAATTCATGTTTCCAGTTTCAAAACATGAATTGGTGAACAATTACGGGCCTGGTAAATAAAGTCTCTCCGTGCGTGTGCACAAAGTCAATGGGCAGTATTCTCATTAGCATATTAGTAGGTGGACGACTGACCATATTTCATCAGAATTATAGGATTTTGTTGCTGGAATCTGACCATGGAGTTTTTTTTGAGATCTGGAATTAGGAAAGCAACTGTGCACCTTCCACTCGCGCTGCGCCCATGTACAGTACATGTACATACATGTAATCCTGAACAATCCGCTCGATTGCGAGTTTGGATCAGTAAAAAAAGAAAATGCCCCCAAAATAAAATCAACTTCTCATGACCTCCTGATAACAATGTTGCCTTCATTTCAACCCGAGCAAAGTTGATTCAAGGAGTCTAAAGAAGGTGCCCAGGAAGTACCTCAGACTGTACCACAGAGCACCTACATGTAGAATCCAATATTGCCTGGGGGACCCCACGCCATAACGGCTTCGCACTCTGTGCTCGCATAATGTGCCGCCCTGCAATAATTTTAGGCTGTGGAGAACACTGCAGGTACATGTACGTGTAAAAACCGGTATGTGAAAGTGGGTGTAAATCTGCACTCCTCTTATGATAGTGTGAAGTCAAAATTGAAGAGGAGGTGCAATTTTGGTTCTAATATTATTCAAAAAGAACAACATTTCTGTTTGATTCCAAATTTTTTAGCTGGATCGGATATATAAAAACGTCATTCTGTAACTGATTTTTGCGGGTCAGAGATGTTGAAACAATGCCAAAACAAAGACAGAATGCTGCTGGAATGTCACATTGTCATCCTACTTTAATTCTAAGTGTTACGTGTACATACCATTGGAAAGCACTTTTTCTGCTGAATTAAAAAATACATACATGTACTGTTCATGTACTGTAACAGTTCTTAAAAATTTGGACTTTCAGCTCATTTTGTGGCGACAGGTCATACACATGTATGTGCCCTGCAAGGGAGGGTTTTGCTATGTACATGTAACTGGGCAACAGACAGCAATAGACATAAGAAACATGAATGAAATTTCAGCTCCCTCCATCATGTACAAGTGTGAAAACTTCTTTCATTACATTTGCCAAATTGCAGGAGACTTTATTATCCTGGATGTACATGTAAGTCGTCATTCAGTGAGAACTAGTTTCTAGCCTAGGTTACATAACAAGATACTGGTCTCATACTGTATTGTAGCAACCAGAACTACATGTAGAAATCGCTACTGTGGTGGCACAATGCTTGAGAGAAGGTGGCAGCATGTGTTATGTACATGTACCAATTTGACCAATATGGTGTTATGATTTACCGAGCACATTTGCAAAATCAGTTGGAGAATATGAGCGCTAGTCAATACGCAAGCCAATCACTCACAAAGTCACACGCTATCGTAAAACACCACACAATGACAATACCTGCTAATCTGATTATCAGTGTGGCTCACCTTTGATAATCTCAACCTCAGTTCACTTAGGTCTTACATCTGTTGAGAAGTTTGAACTTCACATGGAGTCCTACACTTATGAAGAAACTGAACTCTTTAGGCGACGGATGTTCAGCTCACACTGTGATTTCACAAAAGGAAATAGCAAAATTGTTGTTAAGGTAACTTTCAGTCCATGGCCATGAAAAAAAATTAATTTTCAAAACAAAGTACCTTATCTGCAGGGTGTATTGATTCCATAATGCAAGTGCACAGACAAGCTATAAATATAGATAAAAAATACCAGCACGCATCGGGCATGCACTCCCAAGGGCAAAGTACATGTACGTAAAAGTAACGCATGAACAGCAAGTGAAAATGCTGAAGTGCAACTTTTGTTATTGTGTGGTCTGTCATCACAGATGAAGGTTATGTAATATCCAAAAAGAGCAAACAGGCAGTGAGGTACAGGTACCACAGAAACGGGACAATTGTGTTTTGTTAGGAAAGCCAAGACCAAGCTGTTGGGACATGGTGTAAGGTTGCTGATATCAATCGATGATTACAAATCATTGGATCTGAATAGCAATGTAATCAGTGATGTACATGTAAATCTTGCCATTCATGCAGTGCATGCACAGAACACACAGTCATGACAGTGTACACACCTCTCTGTGCGCTGATGTTCCCAAACAATTGCGGACATTACACCAAAGAATTAATGACCGTCCACGATTCCCGATACGTCCACGATTGCCAAACGTGTACAAAACATATTAGAGGCCTTCCAAAAAAGTTAAAGTATGAATAAAAGAGGACAATAGGAACGTCCACGATTGCCCAAAAAACATGTTTGGGTGAGAATGTGTACATGTACGTTGTACTTCTGGGCACACATTAGCCATGCTAGCGGGTGGATGTCCCAAATTGTAAACACATAAATTTAACAATTTCACACAATGAATGCCGGCCCCTTGTTCCAAATAATCACATTAAAGAATAAACAACACAAAAAATTGGCCATTTTATGAAGTTTCTTTCTTGCACTTCAGTTTAGGTTTGTCACCGAGTTCAGTTGACAGATGCGTACATGATGAAGTACATGTACGTGTACCATGCTCAGTTAAAGACAATCTTTAGCATTGAATCCATGATGCATTGTACAAGTCCCAGCTGAGCATCAAGCAAATGCTGAAAATGATTGAAACTTGAAAATCATTCACTGGCACTTTTATTCAAGTCAAGCTGCAAAAGCTAATCTTTCAGCCTTGTTTGTACTTTGCTTTTTTAAAATTTAAGTTGAGAGCAAACTCCTGTCAAACTCCTCTCAATACTGGGTGTCAGCGTAAACTTACATGTTCAGGTACATGTACATGAATGTAAATGCAGATAGCTGTATGCATTTGAAGGTTGTTTCAAATGATCTTATTAAAGGCTAAAAAGGACAGTAAAAATTCTGACCATCATTTCAGAGTTGCCTTTAACCATACATGTACACGTATCTTGTCCAATACTGTCCGAGTTTATAACAGCAACACCACTGCTCTTTAAGGTACCGTACAGTACATGGTAGGTTTGGGGTAGCATCATGCAAGGATATCTGTTTCTGAGTATGTGTGGTTATCAAAAGAACCAGAGGGTAAACAAAATTTTGGACAGTGTGCTCCGTCTGTTGTCATCATGTACAACGTTCACGACCAACCAAAGATTCAAGGCCAACCATACCAGTAGGCATCAGGTCCATGTATGTAAATCATTGGCAATGTTCAGGTTACTGCACTTTTGCCAATCAGTTTCCCAAAGATTTGCGAAACGCAGTTTGTGAAAATTCCAGTATTTGCTGAAACTGTTGCCTGAGGCATATACATTACATCCTAAAATAACAATTTTGTAAAGCTGACCTGTGGTTTATGACAGCATTTATTGAACAAAGAACAGATGGAATGTTAGGACAAACAGTACAGTGTCAATGCTGAATCTATAGTCATGAACTACGGTTAACTGTTCAATTTTCCATTTATCTAGTGTATAACTTTGTAAAGGTGGGCCTAAGTCTTGAAAGCTGAACACTGCCAATATGCAAGGCCTGACAATACATGAACCACTTCATTGCAGGACCCTGCAGTGTTTTCAAGAGCTGAACATTAAGAAGTATCATACAAATATTGTACAGGCACTCCATGGAACAAATATACACTTTACACTATATGAGATCTCCCCTAACAAATCCCACAACACACCATTTTGCTATGAAGTTTGCTAGACTTGGTTTTTTCATCAAGTCCATCAATTGAAGTTAGCAATCTACAAAATGCCCTTGATGAGAAATTTCCTTTGTTAAGCAATCCTTGAAACAAGGTAGTCAAAATCCTATCTTGAGTGGGTAGAAGTGCTATTAGGTCTGTCCATTATAATCATGGGGGAGATCTACATGTAAGCCTTAAAAACCTACATGTATGACAACTCTGTGGTGGGATAACTTGTATAATTCCCTGTTGAATATCTGTGAAAAAGTCCTTGACGATTAATTTTACTGCAGAAAGGTGAGAAAAGGGATTATGGGGAGAAAAGATGTTCACAGTGTAAAGATTTAATATCTCTTGTGGTTGACTTCATTTGAAAATATGGCTGATATTCATATGTACCTTTCGAGTTTTTCAAAAACAGGTTCTTCAGCCCAAAAAATCCTATGGCTGAGCAATATCCTGGACTTACTGGAAGTGGTTAAAATAAAAAATTGATGTGTGTACATATACTACTTGTGTATTCTGCACAAATCAGGGAAGAATACACATGTAATCTCTGGAAATCAAATCACACGATTGATCAATACGCTTTCTGTATCAGGTTACAATAATGACCCAAGCATTAGGGAACAACCATGCTAACTTCATTTGCATTTACCAATTGTTGTGAAAGGTCAATCTCTGACCTTCAGGCTTTATCAGACGTCAATAGATGTGACCAGTGACTGGCACACATAGCCTTGTACATGTACATACAGTGTACCAGTATTTCTGGGCAGGGTTTTTTTTACTAGCCAGACATTAACACTATGTTTTGTCCAATTAAGGTTATCTTTATATATTCACAAATTTGGTTAGGTAGGTTTGCTAAGAAAGAATTTACCCCTAAGGTGTGAAAATCCAAATATTTGTGGACTGGACACAAATTAAAATAGGGAGTGTATCAAAGAGACACCTGTTACCCTGTCAATCTTGTGTGATCCTTAGACGTAGTTGTGTAGTTGTAGACCAACTGAAAACAGGTTAGCTGTATCAATTTACCTGGTAATTACATAATCCCAACCCGACCCAACCTGAGTTCAAAGCCTTATCAATGATCAGTAATCAGACAATGTTTAGACATAGAAAGTTAGACATCAAAGTTACTTAAAATCTGACCTCACGTTGTAACATTTTTAAAAATGTGGCCACAAGATGAACTTACTAGACTAAACAGTTACAATCTTTTCATTTGTGGCTCATCATCCGGCTTCTCTTTGACCAAACTATCACTCAGTTTAATAAAAAATGAATTTAAGACTTGTATGGTATTGGTTTGATGCCAACTCTCAAAAACAAAGTGCGACCAGATAGCATTTCCGGTATATTGGCCTGTGCTGGGTACCGATCTGCTGATGTCAATACCCGGTGGGTTTTTTTTCAGGCTGGTTAAAAAAAAGATACTGTAAGAAGGAAAAATTTCTGAGCTGTTTCTTTTACTCTTTACTATTTGAGTTCATTAAAAAGTAGACAAGCAGAACAACCATCTAAATCACAACCATCTCCATTGTAGCCTGAACATACCCTTGATTGTACATGTAGCTCATAGTGCAAAGATTACACATAGTACTGTGCTGTAAAATTATCCCAATATCCAATGACTCATTGGTATTACCAGGTCGGGGACCAAATCACAATCTAGCGATGTCGCAAGTTTCTGCTTATGTCGCTTGTTCAAGCGGCAATGACATCATTTTTATGTCATTTTCCTTGTGAGATTTTGTAAAATAACAAGATTTCAACGTTGCCACCATGCCGGCAGCCCACATGGCCGCCGTGCCTGTTGCCATTTAAACCTGCAATATTATTTCAGATGGTTATTTTGGAAAATAGCTTATAGTAATCATAGAAGTTGCCACAGTATATCGATGGAGATTTTTAATGGCTACACTTTCATGCATAAAGTATAAAGCTTTTGCAAAACTCTATTTTTTTCCCATTAACTTTTTCATCGGCGGAACTGGCCTACCCACTGATGCAAATTTGACACCTCAAGTGTAAAATTCAACCAAAAACCTCCTTGATCTGCTTTTACAGATTCCAAATGAAAGGAAAATTTCATTTAAATATGGGGTAGCCATTTCCTGTAATTTGAGCAATCATAGCTACATGTATTTGTATTGAAGTTTCCAGCCAATGAAGACATCGATGTTACCTGGGCACCATGAACTAAAAATAGTACAAAAATTACGCCATCATTGCACAACCTATCGGCGTATAAATGGTCTAGCGTCGTTGCTAGATTGTCGTTTGGTCCCCGACCTGATTACCGGCAAGCTATTGTGCCATTTGCACAACAGGTTTTTTTTAATCAGCATCTTCTTTTTGCATGAATAAAAATGAAAAAACCTTCTTTTGTGTTTCTTTTCTACTAATACGTCCTTTTAATGCCAGATGCAAACTTCTTTCTGCAATAATCATCTCAACAATCAAGTGAAAGCAACCTCTTCTGAAATGAAAACCGCCGGTTATGGCAAGATCAGTCAAATTTTTCTGTTAGGAAAAATATACCATGACTATATGTTTGGGAAAGAGTTCCACATACGGACACCACTTTACACCCTGCGCACAAATTCTATCAGACTGATCTGAAAAATTGTGTTTTCTCAGTAAACAATGTGGTATTTTCCCTCCTAAATTGGACTGTTCTGGACATGTTTTTGCTCTCTGATAGCTATTCGGTCACAGTGCTAGCCTAAAGTGTAGGGAAGAATTACTGGTGTCCATATGGAACTCTTCCCAATGTTTGTGTTACAGGAAAGGATACCCAGTTCCAAAAGAACAACTAAATTTCAGTCTTACTCTTAGGCACAGGCTTTTTACAGTCCGTTACACCATGGAGGTAGATTTGGTTACACTCACATACATGTACATGCCCTAAGCCTACAAGTGCTACTGCATCAAAAAATGAATCAGCCTCAGGTTTTCTATAAAATTTAAAACATATATTATATGACACTAGGGCCTACTGAATAAGCGCAAATGGAAGTTACGGGCAGGATTTACATGTACACTGGTAGGCCTAATACTAAAGTACATTACACGCCAATATGCACCCGAGTAAAGTACCAGTGCAAGAGAAGGAAATAAGAGGTGCAAAGCCAGCAATGACTAGCGCGTCATCAGGTCATTGCGCCAGATGTCATAGATGTGCAGGAATTACTGTATCACTGAAAACTACAGCTCTAAAATCTAATGGTTGCTCAAAATTCTTATATCTCTATATCTTTTCTAAATTCTGTGTGTACCTGGTCAAAAAATTCCCACAAGTTGTTGAGAAAAACAAGGAGCCGACGTCAGAAAATCTTGGGTAAGTGACTCCACAGCGTGATACGCTACGTCAGCCAATACTTGCAGCTGCCGGGCCGTGTCGTTCGATGTGGTTTGATGACCGTGCAGGTAGGTTGACCTTGTTTACAGTTTTGGAATTTTCCATTTTCTATTGGTGGCGTACGGAGGTAATTTATGTTGAAATCCTCCTAAATTAAACGCTGATACAACACATATACCTAAACATACACATTTTATTTATTAGAGCTTGATGAAACTGATCCCTAGATTTCCCAAATTTAAGATGAAGCCGAAATTCTAATTAATAAAAATCGACACCCCTTTATAAATTTGGTGAAGCCCGATCATTTGGTTGACCTCTAGCCATTTCGCGCCACTTTCATAATTTCTTTAACTCTCTACGCAGTAGAAATGGCTCCAACGTCAGACGATCCAGACAGTATTTCACAGGATGATGGTGAGATTTTAAACGATGTATAGACGTTATGCTGTTAGAAGACTGAAAATTATGTGAAACGTTTCCTTGTGAACCCTTTTACACATACAGGCCTACAAACAAACTTTCTCGTGTGCGTGTGCACATGCCCGTGTACGTGTAAGCGGTATACATAGTACAGAAAAACTATAGTATAGGGAGTCCGGCACTCGGGTTTTTTGTTTGACCCCCCAAAATTTAGTAGGCCTACCATTGGAAAGAGAATTCCGAAAGAAATTTAATGGTATACAACTTGAGTTCAATAATATGATGAAGTTATAAATTTTTGTGATATTAAAATTAGGTGTAATTAGTCCGTCACTTTTTGGGGGTGGACACAAGTTTATTTTCATGGAGTCTTGATCCTCATCGGTTCCACTTCCAAACATGCCAGAGTTGGACAAAGATCTGTAATTTAGTCACAGGGGATGTGTAAGATAAACAGTATCTATTATTATGGATAACTTTATCAATAATAAAATTAGGATACATGTACATGCATATAGTAACAGGACAGTTGAGCTGGGCTTGAAATTTTTAGTGATGTGTGAAAGATCGCTGAAGCATAGTTTTAATGTAATATTTATTTTCATCAATAAATTTGCTATAAAAATTGGGGACCAAGTCTGTCAGGTGTCATAGGTTACTTTAAGTCTGTTTGTGTTTTACAGGATCTTTTGATAATATTTGATTGAAACAACATGTGTGGTTTATGCACTTGTTATTTGCATGTTGCTCCCCATGCACCTACTTCCAGAACTGCCTGACTGTAAGGTTTATACAGACCTTGTAAATAGCCATGTACAAACACTTCTGGCTGTTTTGATTGTGCTAACTTACCCTTCCATACATGCCTTTTTGGTGAAGTCAGATGGGGAGGTTTACACGTATGTCCTCATTAAAATGGTGAAATTCTTGAGCATTTTGCCCATCTACAAATCAACTGAAAATTATTAAACAATAGATCAGTCGTTAGAAAGAGAGAGTCTAAAGTCATCTTTGATAAAATTGCCAAAGGTTTGGGCAACTGGTCTGATGCGACATTTGACCTGGTTGAGAGGAGTGAATATGAACTGGTTTCTTGGAAATATTTTCTAGACAAAATAAATGGCTTGCCTGTAACTGCATCAACAAACTTTGTGTATTTCGTATAAATACTAAAAAAAGCCATAGAAAGGGGGTTCAACATAATTTTAGTTATTTTTAGACATGGGGGAATGCCAACACGGCTGCATTGGAACGCTAAAATCGGACTGGTGGAAAAACGAGGCTTAGATTGCCACATACATGTACCTTTGCATTGGCCCCCAAAATTGCAGTTCTGGATCAAATGTTTATGTACATGTATTAATTGCTCTCGCTGTCACATTCACAGACATAAATTATGCTGATTAGTAATGGCTGCAGATTGGCCTGTCTTCACAATTGCTTGTTTGCTGTACGTGATTGGTTAATGCAGCATGGAATCTCCAACTGTCCCTTTTTAAAAGAAAAGGTGATTGGCTGAAAGCAGAATTATCAACAAATGGAGCAGTAAGATCATGCAATTGTGCGACAATAGTTGGATTGTGTATATCAATCAATCGTGCCAAACAGTAATAAGCCATAAAGTGAACAGCATTGTTAGTTTCATGCCCGCTTAAAAAAAACTTAAGTGTGAGTGGGTGATGCTGAAATATACATTTACAAGTCACAATATGGTACATCTTGAACATATTGCTCTTACCCAAGAAGTCAGGTCTTCTTGACCACCACTGTTGTAAGCTGGGGTCAAATCCCACTTGCATGCAGACTGATATGTAGTTTGGGTTGTAGCCCCAGAATATGATTCTGTGGTTTTCTGAGCAGTTTCATGTTGAGGTTTTTCTTTCACCCCTCTAAAACGAAGCATGACTTCATCCACTTTTATCTCTACATGTACATATAGGCTTTTACAAGCTTTCTGGCTCTTTTTTATTGGTGCTTGTACACAATTGAAGAATCTTGTTTCATTGCCAGAAAGAATTAACATATATTTTGTTCCTTTTCTAGCTTCGGGAAGTTTGGCACAGCGACGGGGCAGACGTGCCATCAGCAGTAAGAAGAACAGTCGGCTTGCTGCATTGGAACGACTCAAGGAAGCAAAGAGAGGATCAGGATCTAAGTTCAAGTATGAGGTATGTGTATGATCAGATGGCATGTCATTATATTTAAGACAGACATCTTGGAATGTAGCAAAGCTTTTGTTTCATTTGAATTGATATGTTATACTTATAGGTGGAATGCAAAATTCAATAAGAGGTAACATGAGGTTTCCTTCGAGATTTCTCAAGGTTTAATAGGGTTTTACAGGATGCCGGGGAAGGAGGCAAAACTTCGAGTTATATACCACTGGTTTAATTTCTTCCCTGAAGTTTTGTTGTGGGATCATCCAATCAGCATTTTCAAGTTTGCTAGATGGTTAGCTAACCTCAGTAGATTACCACAAAATAGTTCAAATGTTTCTGTGCAAAGCAGGCTTGTTCATATTTTGGTCACTGTCCATGCTCCAGAGTTAAAAGAACTTCAGAACAATATCGTAGATCTTTTGGTTTCTTTCTTTTTGCTATTTTTCTGTTTGTATCCCTCAGATTGACGAGGTGCAGAATGTTTATGATGAAGTAGATGAAGAAGAATACTCCAGAATGGTCAGGGATCGCCAAGAGGATGATTGGATTGTGGATGATGGTAAGACATGCTGAAGCCCGCAGTCAGAGAATAAATAAGCTTGCAAATGCTATTGTTGTAGATTTTGATCTGGTCTAGTACTGCGCAAACATCTTTAAAGATTTTTATTGAAAAAAAAAATCAGAAGATTGAGAAGATCCTAAACATGCAACGTTTGTAAGTCAGATTTGAAGCCATCAATAGCTGTTTCCTTCTCCACATTGGAATTATTTTGTAGCAAAATGAAATATCATTAACAGTCCTTTCTAGTTTGAAGTGCTGACATTTGCCCTCTTGGAAATCAGAAATAACTGTACTAGAAACTGAGTGTAATTATAGCTGTGCATTCACCCTGCCTTGGCCTCCTGTTCTGTTTCCAACATATCACACACAGTTTCAAGAAAAATCAATTTCAGGGAAGAATTTGTAGTCTTATCAGGGGTGTGAAATCTGATTTTTAGCAGATTTCCACCTTTTTGTTGGGTATGTCAAGTTTCATTTCCACTTTTTTGCCACCAACAGGCCAGATTTTTCTCATTTTTCTTCATGTGCATATGTGTATGTACATGTGTGCAGTGTATACAAATCTGTGTGAGCATTTTTTGGCACAGCTTGAAGTGCAAGCCTTGTGTGTTAACTGCATCCTAGGAGCCACCTGGTCATTGTGTTGTGATTGGCTGCAAATAATTATATAAAACATCAATATTCATATGTGTGTCAGTGGGACTTGTTGCAGCCATTTTTGTGTAAGCAGAAGTAGTGACTAGCTATAAATTGCGATAGCACACATCTCACTATGTAACTTTGCGGCTTGAAATAAGGTTTGTAAATTTTCGCTTTTGCCGATAGAGTGCTTTGTGACAACTAATACAAGGCAAAGTCCTTGCATGTCTTGTGTTATGCATGCATTATCGTGCGGTTTTTACATGCTCTGTGTGCAGCTTTGTGTATGAGATTTCAAACAGTTTTTGGACACAAACTAAAAACACTCTACAAACCTCAATATTTATAATTTTGGTATACCTATTTCTAGTTAATTCTAGTCTTCAGGAAGTTTCTGGAAAATATGAAGAAAAAAGTTAAATTGAAAATGTGCATAAATTGCAAGAAAAAATTACCAATGGTTGCACCAGGAGACTGTAAAATGCACCACGGAGCATCTACGTTTTTAAAGTTTGCCCGCGGCCTTTAGGCAGGCCTGGACCCCACGTAATATATGCTTCGCACTTCTTGCTTGTAGTTTCAGCTATTTTCGTTATGCTTCACTCACATCCCTGTCTTATGTCACTATCTCTCTTCTTACCTTAATCACTCCCAGATGTAAAAATACATTTTGTAAGATGGAATCATATCTCTGTCCTCCCAAGTGGTGTGGGTTTTGAGGTGCCACAATATCTTTTGTATACTTTTTGAGTCACGTGCAATCAATGTTGTGCAATGGATGTTGAGTGTTGGTAAAAAAAACTTCTGCTTCCGGTTTCCAGACTGAATCTAATTTTTTGGCGCGATCCTAAAACTTTTAGCGGCAAGTTAGAAAACAAGTTTTGAAAATTTTTGAAAATTCATTTTTCAAGTAGTTAATTACAGCTGTACGATGTGGAGCTGTTTACATCTCTACGAATACATGGATTTGTCTTAAATACCATAGATGGAGGAGGCTACGTGGAAGATGGACGTGAAATATTTGATGACGATCTGTATGGAGATGGTGAGAAAAAAGCTGGGAAAGGTATGCTCCTTCCTTGTGATGGGCAAGTGACTGAAAACCTGTGTAAAGCTACATACAATTACTTCCAAATTCTTAAGTTGTAAGAATTAGAAAGGGCTGGTATTGTTTAAGTTTAGTGGTTAAAATTTACATGTTTACATATATACATGTATATCAACATACATGTACAAGTCTATTACAGTGGATTTTAGCAGACAAAATTGAGCACATCTCTAGAGCCGCGTACATGTATACCATGTACATGTATACCATGCACATAAATACCGTGTACATGTATACCGTGTACATGTATACCATGTACATGTATACCGTGCACATGTATACCGTGTACATGTATACCGTGTACATGTATACCGTGCACATGTATACCGTGCACATGTATACCGTGCACATGTATACCGTGCACATGTATACCGTGCACATGTATACCGTGCACATGTATACCGTGTACATGTATACTGTGTACATGTATACCGATTACATGTATACCGTGTACATTTATACCATGTACATGTATACCGTTTATGCGGTACTGAAATTACAACTTTTCTCTCACAAGTTGCCCAGGGTTATGGGCCAGTTTCATAGAGCTGCTTGAGCACAAAATATGTTTCAGCGCAAGAAAACCTTACTTTATAAATTAGGTAACCGTCCAAAACTCCATGTGATGTATATTGTTTTGGGATTGTATTTAGCTGTGTTTTGGTTGGCATGACAATCAGATTGAGTTTGAGCGGTAACCTTTGTTTATTAAGTAAAGTTTTTCCCGCTTAAGCAAATTTTGTGCGTAAACAGCTTTATGAAATTGGCCCCAGAGTTTATCAGTATTGCCATCAGGCAACAATGGCGGCAACCAACTTCATTAACCTGTCTTTTTTTTCTCCACCAAGCAGAGAAAAAAGGAAGGGAGTCCACTGCTGTGAAAGATTCAAAGAAACTGGTGAGACTGAAAATATTACAGAACACTCTCAATGCATATTCAATGTTTCAATTTTTCCAGGACAAGGATGGAAACCATCCCATTATTGATTTTAATACCACAAGGTAGAATTTTGTGTCAAATAAGAGCAACAGAAAGTGGCTTGCTTGTACCCTTAAAGAGCCAGGTTATTTATTTTGACCATGTCACAGTGAGGGAGAGGATTCTGCCTGCCTCCCTCCAGAACTCGGCTGTCCCATGCTCGATTTTTTTTTTTGTTAAACTTAGTATGCACGCATGGGAAATTTCAGCCCAATCTGTAATATGATTTTGTTGTTATAGCCTTTTGAAATTTAGGGCCACACATGTTCCAGCTGGCATGCATTGAGCTTGGCAGTAGACAATTATACATAGTTTGGCTGACCTTTTTTTAGAAAAATAGGTGCTGCACGAGAACGGTGTGTTTGATTTTCACAAACATTAAAGAAAAATTTCCTATAGGCCGAGCTTGTGAACAAAATGCACTGCAGTGATATCCGAAACCCCCTGGCCCTTTGTGTTAACAATGAAATAAACCAATAATTAACTGACTTGGGTTTGTATCCTTCCAGTTTATTTGTTCAGCATAATACTGTCAAGACATCTTTCTGTGAAATGTTTATTCATTGGCAAAATGAAATAATTTTTCAAAGAATGTCAAGAAGCCATCCGTGTCCAAGTCGCATGACATCAAGTCTATGTTCAAGATGGGTGTATCTAAGCAGCGCAAGTCAGAGAAAGAAGTTAGCGTTGCTGATGATGAACTGTTGGGAGACATCCTTAGTGATCTTCACAATGATGTAAGTAATGTCCATTCCCTTTATCTTGTCCTGACATTTCAGATTTAAGTGGCATTTTCACGTTTCATTAAAACAATCAGGAGAGTTCTAAAAAAAGTTCTTTTTCAACAGTTGTAGAAATTATACCAAAAAAACCAATATTTTTCTCATGACAAAATTATATTTGTCAGGTCTCAAATGAATTCTGTATAGATCTTTATGTTATTTATATTAAGAAAAAACAACTGTTGATGGTATGTAGTTTGCATTGTTGTTCAAAAACATTTGGAAACCAGCAGTTTGGAAGTTTGAAAGGAAAAGATTATTCAAAACATTTTCTGTTTCGCTCTTCTTTCTTAAAACAAAGGATTACTTGTAAAGGCCGAGTTCTTTACCCAATGTGTAAAACATTCTGGTTTATTGATCTGAACAAGTGATTACTGCAGTATATGACTCTGTTGATGAAATTACTGCCATAATGTACCAGCTATTTGAAAGCTAAAATAGTATTAACAGAAAAGAAGCAGTTGCATGTTCGATTTCCTCATGCTTTCCTGTTTAGATGGGCACTTATAATCTGTGGTAATAAACCAACGATCTAGGGTTAATCAAGGTGAGCTGACAGCGCTCAGGGGTGACACAGTAATTAGCTTTGCAAAATGAATCTGAACTGTAAGAGGCCACTGGCATCCATGCACACATTGGTTACCTTTCAGTCACAGAGCTTACTTGATATGAGCCAGACTGCCACTTCCAGTACATTGAACAGTTTACCAGAATTATTTACAGTGGTGTCAACGTTCCGTTGCTTCAGTTGACTTAGCTGCCCTGTTTTTACATGGTATTTAGGGATACTTCCCTAAGTAACAAGCTCACGATGCTGATTACTTTGGTGAGGTCTGAGAAGCACGACAGTATAACTCTCATAAATCTCAAAGAAGTCATGGGAGTGTAAGTCATACTTGCACCAGTAACCTTAGGGAAACGTAACTGAACGTGTTGATAGAGAGTGTCCTTAGGTTCAATTTATTGTTCATTGATATGATTCGTGGATGCTGTGTGTAGTTATCTGACCAGTTGTTCTTTTTTAGAAGCAAGATGTGTTCAAGCCATTACCGATCAAGAAAAAAATGAGAGTCTCTGGTTCTGGGTAAGTTGACCTTGTGATACTAATGAAAGAATGATGAATTTCATTGAAACTCTGAAACAGAAAACATACATGTAGTGATGGTTTGACTTTCTTTATAGGCTTGTCATGCCAAGTCTTAGGTAATTTCATCATGTCTAGATTGTTTACATGGATAAATGTGAATATTTTACAAATGTTTACAATAGACTATAATTTTGTGTATGTAATCCTCTTTGCAAAATCCAAGGGTTTAATAGTTACTAGAGTATTGTTACATTATTTCACCTTAACTAGCAATTTTATTGATTCTTGGCATTTTCGGCAGGCCATCACCATCCAGCAATCGTAATCCATTCTCCAGAACACCCACTCGACCCCACCCAAGCCCATCCCAACCTAGAAATGCAGAGTACAACATGACACCTCCTTCAGTCATACCCAAACAGCGCCCCCAGGCTCGTAAGACTATTGTCAAGCGAGAAGTGGACATAGAGCTGGTGGAACCATCTAAAAAGCAGAAGAGATCAGAGGTCATCATCAAGGAGGAGCCCAAAGATGAGGTTGAGATTGAGGAGTTCTCAGAAATGACTGAAGATCAAGGCCATGGATTTGGTAAGTTGATGTACTTCCCTATTCGACTGAAAATCTTGTTTCCCCTTAACACCTATGTGTGCTGGAAGTGGCTTGACTCATCTGAGAGCTGTGTGAGAAAAGACTGGGTAATGGATGCTGACAGCACACAAGTAGGGCTCCTAATGCTAAATATCAAGTATTTATCTCAGCGAAGTCATCAATGTTCATCACAGAGTAGTGTTGCAAGTAAGTGTCAAGGTTTGGGTTTGCCGAACTTTGGTTTGGTTTGGGTTCAGACATGCACACACACGTACGTACATGTACATATACATTGCACATTGAGACATTGAACAGCTCCCTATGAACATGCCTTTAGTAATTCCATGTATAAAGTGTGTTAATGAAAGCAACGAATCTACTCTGTCTCCATTTTTTTCCTAAACTGTTTCCCCAAAGTTTATTCAGGACTTAAAATTCCATAGAATTTAAAGAAAGTTACCGTCGTTGGTGTGACATTTTCTAACCGTGTTTTACTAACCAAAAGCAGTTGTGTTTGGACCATGCTTGACTCAACAAAACAATCGTCGAATACGTGTATCACGGTTTAGTTCAGTTCGAAAGGGCTATATTCCATGATTTTTGGTTGTTTCTGGCGGTTTGGCTGCAGCACTATCACCGAGTGCACAAAGATGTGCACACTAGAGGGTGTAGGGCATACACGTATTCATACTCTCTGCTTATTATGTTGACTGCATTAACTGGGTTCAACAACCAGATTTAAATGGCACCGGCTAGGTAAATGCCATCTCCAGCAGTACACATATTGTAAGAGGAACATACCCATAACATTGCTGGAGGAATGTTGGGGGGGGAGTAAAACTGTGAGACAAAATTGTCCAAAAACTTGTTTTGGCGTTGTCACTCTAAAGACGAATGGAAATAACTTGTGTATCTGCTTTGCCAGTATTAAACATGATTTGAGACTTTCTCAGGAGAAGGGATGCTGACAATGCCTTTGGCTTGGGCATTATCAGCATCCATTCTCCTGATCCAGTCTTAAAACAAATGCTTAGGACAATCACATATTTATTCCCTCACTAAAAGAGCTCATGAGCAATATGAATCTTGAAACATTTTGGCTTATAAGCTTATTTTGTGCTCGGCAAATTATTTTCCACGTTTAGCAAAGTTCTGTACTGAGCAGGTCATTTGATGTTCACTTTTCTTTCTGTCTCAAAGCACAGTATGGGTAACCTTTGAACTTTTGTAAACAAATGCAAGCATCTATACATTCGTAACTTTCTGGGATTTTTATTGTATTCGTTTTAGAAAACATGGATTTTGACAACAATGAAATTGACAGCTTTGACTCTGAAGATGTTTTGCAAGCATCAGCCAAGGAAGAAGCTACCGTGAAACAAGAGGCAGGAGTAAACAACAAAGACAAAGCACAGAAACCACCGTAGGTTTTTCCAAAACATGCATACTACATCAATTGTACCCTTATAATTGGCTCCTAAAAAATAAATTATTTTCAACTGAACGGTTGTAAGTTCTTTTTAAGCACAAGTCTTTAAGTTGAGTCCTAGTGCTTCTACTTTTAAGGCCAGTTCATACTTAGTGTGAAAGCAATAACACTAATGCAATTTTGTGACGTCAGGTCAACTATTCGCACTGCGAATCTGTAAAAGTTGAACACATTTCAACTTTAGTGAATTTGCTACAAACATTTTGTGATGTCAAATCCACTTCAACAGGCATGGATTGGGGGGGGGTAAATCCATTCCCCTGCTCAAAAAACAGAAAACAAATGAGGGTAAAAAGAAAAATGAAGTAAATTCACCAATAGCAGTGCTATTGGTGAACTTCAGTTATTTTAATGTGTGTCCTGTATAATGTTTCATCGTCATTTCCGCTTGTCCACAAAAATGAGACAGTAAAAAACCTTTTGTCCTGCCCCCCAAAATATTCCTTGATCTGCCCCTTGTTACCTTCAAATTTGCTTGTAGTATGAATCGGCCTTCACACAAATCCTATATCAATCTAATTTTGTCCCTATCGAACATAAATCTTTCAACTGAGCTGTAGTATTACAGAGCATAAAATTACGGTTGGACATTGGACATTTTCCGAGCACTTATTGTGTTTGTCCGAACAAAATCAGAGATGCTCGAACAAAGTTTCCGACCAACATATCAATAACAGCTCTTAAAATATCAACACAATATGTGGGATTATGACGTCCGATTTATTATTGGTTTTGTGTTAGAATTACATTAATTACGCCAAAGGCATTCATCAGGGTTAATTGCTCATCACCGGCCCATGTCACCCAGCGCCACACATGTGTGAACACACCGGTACTTAACTTGCACAGATATGAAACTGCCCCATGTCAACATCCAAGTTTCGCTGGCACAGTGGTGAAATCACATGCACATAGCTCAATGCATTAAAAAAGAGCTGCTCTGGTTCCTGCCACGCCGCACCCATTGCAAAAGAGTGCATGATGGAAATGTAGGAACCAGAACCAGTCTGTACTGTACATGTACAATCTACATGTACATCGGCCATACACATAGCGGTTGCAAAAGGCTGCAGGCCGCAAAGACATCGATGGTGCAAGAGGTTTTCTGCAAGTTAATTCACAGAACTTGGTCTCTTATTTATGTATGTGTTTTCCGCGTTTTCTGAGTTTAATTTGAGTTTGTTCTGCTCATGGCGCAAGGTTTAACACCCGCTGGTCTGGATGCATCACGCACACTTACCACGTGATACACAGACATTGGCAAGAAATCTTGGGCAATTGCTGATCCAATTCGAGCAAGTAAATTAATGACATGGCCTGTGTGATCGAAAAAAAAAATCGTCACGGCCTGTGCCCTAACAAGGATTGCTCAATGCTGCTGCATGTTCAGTTCTGGTATGGGACCACCAAACTTTCAGCAGGACCAGTGAAAATTTTGAAGTACTTGTCCTGCTGACTACCGGGAAAAAAAGGTGAATTTTGACACCTGACACTGCATGTTACAACTCTACCTTTTATGTAATATAGCAGATCAAAAGCTGGTAATGGCAGTACAAAATTTGTTGTGTTACGTCATTTTATTGGAGCACTTTTTTGGTCAAATTTTGCGCTCTGGTATAAGAGTAACTTCCAAACATTTACCCAGTCAACTGAACTGGATTACTGTCCGACCAAACGAGCAATTTATTGACTGAACTGTAGTAATTCCTACCAAATGTAATTCTTACATGTACATCAACTAATAAACAGCACATTCTTCCCAAAGATTATTTTTTTTTTTCATTAAACCACAGTAAATTCAGACACAAATATTGCATGAATTTCAGTTCCTCTGCAAAATGCCTCATTAGCCAAGTCTTTGTAAGTTTCTCCAAATCACACTTACCATATTAGCTGAATTGATTTTTGGACAACCACATGGGTACTTAGGTACTAACTCGAACAAATTGTTTTGTTCATTTTGGAAGCATGCATCCCGACGTCTGCTCCAGCTCAGGCTGGGAAACAATCAGAGAAGAAGCTGACGATGTGAAGGATGATGTTACCATGGATATCCAAGTTGATAATTCATCATTGCCTATGACAACCAATGAATCAGGGGACCAGGTGTTGCGGTTCTTCTGGTTGGATGCATATGAAGATCCGTACAAACAACCAGGTAGGTTGAATTGGTGATAAATCTCTTTCTCAGCTTCAATCTTCAATTCATTTAGGAGGCATTGAGGATACAGCACTTCAGCTGATTAAATTATGAATTGGACATTGAAGACATGTTTTGCTCTTCCAGGCACTGTGTTCTTGTTTGGCAAAGTATGGATTGATTCGGCTAAGACACTTGTTAGCTGCTGCCTGTCGGTCAAGAATATAGAGAGAGTTATCTACTTGTTGCCCCGGGAAACGGTGAGTTTATCAAAGTTGCAGGATGAACAGTAACTCACAAAGGCAGTGCGAAAAAATGAAATGTATCCTTGTCCACCTGAACTCCCCCAAATACTTCAATAGTTGGAAATAATGTTGCATGGCAAGTCTGTAACAGCAAAGACTGAATGTACTGTTGCTGAATGTTTCACTTGGAAGGCCATAAACACCTACCCTTCATATACGTATTGGGTTTCATTATTTCTTACAGTACAGGTCAGAAGTTTAGCCGACATGCAAACACGCTTAGCGTGTCAGTGTGCATCGAGTCAAACAAACATGAAAGGAGTTAAACGCAAACATAAAACACGCTGACCCCTGCATAACAGAGAACGCCGACACCGCGATCCGATCTGCCGAGTATAAACATGCACACACACTACACACAAACCCCAGAACAGCCAGGCCTTTGTTGACCAGAACAGTCATTTTCCTAGTTTCCCACAACGAAAAGTATTCAGTTTGACTGCAGCTCAAGTTATCTTCATATTCCATGGAAATGTTGTCAGTAGTTTACCTTGTATGTAGCAGGCATCACAAAAACATTTTTGAAGATATAGCGTTTTGTTTTGGCCATACAGGATCGATGAAAGTGCCATGCAGGCAACACTTTTGGTTTATGTCTGAATTGCTCCCAAAACTTCTGAATCAGGTACAGAAAGTATTCCAGCGTGAAATCAATTTTTCAACCGAGACAATTATAACTAGCAGTTTTTAAGACAAAACATTTCCTAAATTAGAGAAAACTATTTTGTATGAAATCCACAACATATAAATGGGGTTTGACCTCGCCGGTCCGCCAGCCAAATTTTAGTCAAGAGGGCCCCCACGGCGGCGATCCCAGCATACACATAGACATTTGTTGCCGTACTCGAGCTCAGTGTGTTCAAAATCGCATGAATATAAATTCTTCTACCTTTGAGTTGGAAAACCTACCTAAAAAAAATCTCTGTGATTGTGACAAAATTAGGACCAAATTAAACAGCAAAGATTGTAATAAAGGAAGTCGGGTCTGCGCAAGTTATGTGCATGCACCGGCTGCACACAACGGACAAAGTAGCACCCATGGGAACTTAAATATGCATGTCGTGTGACGTGAAAGGGCTGTAGCTTTGCATTTGTTGAGATAATGAGGTCCAGGGTCAGGCTATTGTGCATTGGATCAGCAGTGCATGGTAAAAACTGCAAAGCGTGTATTGAACAGCATGTCAGGTTCACTGATTGTGTCAGTGTGTCGGCTAAAATTCTGACCTGTACTGTAGGTTATTTCTGTGTGTGTCTCTTTCGGCCTTCATATGCAAATTGTTCCATGTTCAGACAAAAAAAATCAGCCATTATAACATTCTCTTTAGAATGCTTAGAATTGTAAAACTGCACCCTTGTTGCTTTTTACCACTGGATTCCCCATGAAAATTGTTTAAATGATAAAAGACTTGATTCTGAAGCAGTGACCCAAATTTTAATAATCAGTTTTTGTTTTCTTTTGTTGGATTCACAGTTTTTAAAGTTTTTGTTCTGTGCTTGAAATCTGCAAAAAATTTTGAAGATGAATGACAACTAGGCAAGAATTCCTAAAATCATGATAGTGCCCAGAGTTTGACGTGATTTGTGTCATTTTATTTTAGAGAATTAACAAGAAGACGGGGGAGGATACTGGGGAAGAGGTCACCATGGTTGACATATATCAGGAGTTTGACCAAGTGGCCAACCACTACAAGATAATGAAGTACAGGTCAAAGGTGAAAAGAATTTTCCAAATTTTGTAAACAAATACCCTTCGAAATCAGGAAAATAGAATTCCCTGAAGTCTTCAAGAGACACACATGATTGAGGCTTATTTCACCATTTTTTATTGGCTATTCAGTGCTTGAAGTTGTTTTCCAATGACTGCTTGATTCAGTCCTGAAGTCCAGTGCCATTTAACATACAAAAGATACCTCCAATCTGCTAAATTGGCCCAATATGGTCCAAATGATCACAGAAATATGAGCTCACATTCCTGTGATTGCTTCCTTCTCTCTGCTTTACAAACCCTCAAAACCACAGGTGACAACAGCAGAGAATTTTGGGGGCATGCAACTGCCAATTTGGTGGGGCGTAGGCAATTTTGGACCCATGAATACTGGCCTGCAGCCATAGGGTTATTCTTGCTTGCATGGTTCGCACGCCTCCTGGAAAACCTGGAAAATCCTCTAATTTTATAGCCATCCTGGAAAATGCTTGATTTTTAAAATAAATCCTGGAAAGATTGCAGTAAAATCAATATTACTTTTGAAAATTTACCGCAATCGAACCGTCCCAACGTACATTGTTGCTATTTCACGGCGCAATACAGTTGTATATTATTCACCATGCATGGTCTACTCAACACACCTGTGCTGCATGCAGCGTTATAAGCGAAATCAATTTTGGATGGTGCCCACAATGTGATTCTCTCTATTTCGCATGCGTGAGGCACAAATGATATTATTACTAAACTTTTTTGTAGTCAAATTTTACCTTCATTTTTGTAGCTCCATGGTAAACTGTCTGTTGTAGATATTATTAGGAAATCATTCTCTATTAAATATATGCACTTAATTTAATACATATTTGAATATTTCCAATCATTAATAAACTAATAAAGCTCAGTGTAAAAGTAAAACTGTGACTGTGTTGAACCTTTTTCCTTAACGTTGAATGGACTAGGGGAAGTTTATTTTTCTATTATCGCCAGCTGTGTGTAGGCCTACCTCGTGGTCCGGTTGTCACTGTCAGAGAACTTGTCACGTCTTTGTCGCTCCGCTGCTCGATTTCTACACATTGTTATGTTATAACTTCACAATCTACTATTGTATTGTATTGATATTGTATTGTGTGTCCAACCTGAATGAAGTCCTGGAAAAATCAAACTTTTGACCTGGAAAATCACTGAAAAGTCGTGGGATTTTTTTTCACAAGGGAGTATGAACCCTGTGCTTGTATATAATACTTTCCAATGATTAGTGTTGATGAACACAAATTTGTCTTTCTTTGGCAGTTAATGTTATGAGAAGTCCTGACTCAAGAAAAAATCAAAACACAAAAAATATCAGCAGGGTGGGAAATTATAGTTTTACATTCCCAATTGTCTTGTTATCCACTATTATTTGTAATTTTTTTTTCATTCTAGAAAGTCACCAAGCAATACTGTTTTGAGAAGGAGAATATCCCCTCAGAATCAGAATATCAAGAAGTCCGATATGGGGTATGTACATGTACACGTAGTGCACTCCACCCAACCATGTAATTTCAAAATGTCATCTTTTTACACCTTTCATAAGATGATAACTTGAGTTAGCATGAGATGGAGAATCTTGGACTAAGACAGTAGAATTTAATAATAAAATTACACTTTATTCTTATGAAGCCCTTCCAGTGGGCACATTACATTGTTTGAATGCTGAAAATAATGACACTGTGACATCATTCCAGCATTCAACCAACACTGCAAAAAATCCTGTGCCCACTGGGCTATATTTTGTGCTCCTCACAGGAATGTCATCATTTCATTGTTTGAGGACTTTTAAAAAATTGTTTGTGCATTTGTTGGTGTTTATACAGTGACCCTTTTATCTGTTCTATAGGCTGAGTACCCACAGCTTCCAAGTGATTTGGAAGGAGAAACCTTCAGCTGTGCATTTGGCACAAACACATCAAGCTTGGAACATTTACTTTTGGAGAGGAAGATGAGGGGTCCATGTTGGCTGGACATCAAGATGCCCCGTAAACTAATCTTATCACTATTTAATGTATTTGTGAAACTCTGAATGATATTGTTGTTCTCACAAATCTAATGTGATTGCATATACTTGCTTTACTACATGCATACCTTGTACATATGGCATCTTTGCATGTGTAAAAAGCTGTGGCGATGTTTGCACTTCATCATCAGTATATCTTCACTTCATTAACCCTAACACTCCCAAATCTTCCAATTTTGATACGATTTTACATACACCCTAGGGGGTTAGGGTTAAAGATCACTTCATTAAAGATCAATCACAGCTGTAATTCACAGTTTCAATTTTTATGAAATGTAGTTATCTTTAAAACAATCTAGTAGGTAAACACTAAATAACGATTGCTATTGACATCAAAAGCACGAGATGAAGTCCTCCTGCTTGCTCGCACTTACCTGTGAATTAAAAGAGGTTGGGTAATGAGAGCAACTTGGAATTGCCTTTCCATCGACAATGTTGATTGTCACTGGATCGTATGATAAAGTTGAACCATCCCAATTTGAACCGGAGTGAGGTGATGAATTTCAGGCAGATAGCTGTAGTCCTTTGTCGAGAATGACATCTAACTTACTTTACCTGTTTTTTCTTTGTGCTTGTGCTATAAAACCCCTATTACACCGCAAGGTCAAGAAACTCTAGGGGAACGAGAGCTGTATTGTGACATCAAATCGCTAGATTTGTTTGCTGCCCTCGTTGACACATTTTTCTTACTCTGAGCATTCTAGCGGTGAATTAAACTCCAAAAATGACGAGTTTTTTCATAAATGTGGAGAGAAGCTGCCACGTTAGTCATGATATGGGTAAAAGTGACCAATTTCCTGATAATCATGTTATGTCAAGGCAACATGATTGATCTTTAAGTATGTTCGTAGCAACTATTACCTTGAAAACTGTGCAGCAGTCCACTGTGCATGATATGCGCCTTTAACCCAGTCATGGGTCTTGTTTTGGCATTGGGACTAATGCAACACTCGATCACCAATATGTATGTTCATGGTATTGTGATTTCATATCTTTCCCTGATTTTCTCGACCACCAAATTCATCAAAACTTCCACTTGTGCTCAGAATACCAAAGAAAAATGCCAGTCAAACAACGAGAATTCAAAAATTTGTCATATGCAAATATAGCAGGCGCATGAATTTATGCCCGGTAAATGGTACTAAAATGATCAATTTTTTTTTTCACCATAATAAACCATTAACATGTATATGTTAAAGTCACATTGTCGTAAACACAAAAAGCCAAGTATAACTATTGAGTTTTTGCTTTTGGACTTTTCTTTTGTACATTTTTGACATTTCCTTCGGACATTTGCCAGATCACATCTACATTAACCTGTGGTCATACACAAATACTAGAAGTGGTCAGAAATGTCTGATACCAAGTCGTAATATCACAATCTTCTTCAATTACTTCTTTATAACACAAGTAGGATCACTTGTTTCTAGCCGTTATGTTTTCAAATATAATCCTCCATTTTGACCAACTGAAAATCCTGTTCACCTTTGTTCTCTGAGAGTCTATGAACTAAATACATACGTTGAAGCACTTTCGAGTGCTGACCACAGCAAAGGTTAAACTTGGGAATTGTGACTAGATATAAACAAGGTATATATTGCTCCTCAACAGAGGTTCCAGCCCAGCAAGTCAGTTGGTGTAAGATTGAAGTTTTCATCAATAAGCAAGATAACATCACTGTTGTCAAGGACGTGTCTCCACCCCCACTGGTCGTCATGACAATCAGCCTGCGGACCTTGCTTAATCAGGCCACACATCAGAATGAGGTAAGAACGTAAAAGCTGTTTTCCTGGTTTATTATTACAGGAATAAATACATGTATGTGCTTGGCGGGTCTTAAATGTGGATTTAAGACTGGCTCAGGAGAATGGACGTATGTACAATAAATTTCCAAGGATTTCGTTCAAAAATTTACATCCATTTTCCATTTTTTGTCCATTTTATGGTATATTCCTTTTGCAAGTAGTCCAGAAGAATCTCCTTATATGGACTTTGTGTGCGTGTGGCGAGTTGTGCATGCGACGATGCACACAGACTCTCAACCAATGGGAATGGATTAAACTGTCTCGTATCCAGGTGCCCAGTGCAGTTTTTGTGCATTATCAAATGTTAATACAGGGTCACATGAGGTGTTTTGACCAATAGGAGTAGAAAAACCATCTAAGGTATTTATGAATATCTTTTATTTTTATGTCTGATTCATGGTCTACCAAGGAAATGGATATAAGCAGCCCAGGCACGAAAATGTTACTTTTTTGGATAATTTTATTGTTAATAAAAAATCACACCTATCTGAATCTTATATTGACGAAGTTTTGTTGATTATGATAATATTGTGGGTTGTTATGGGTAAAAAACCTTGATTTTTAACAGTAATTTACGTTTTATGCTAACAACCTTTTGGTTGGAACTCCTCATGCCTAAAATGTGTACTCAAGCAGGATGTAACAATCGTAATGACCTTTTGCTGGGAGTAGACTTTGCATCTACACTTTATTGGAATGCTAGCGCATGTTTTGTTACATTATTACGTGGTAACGTCCTTATTCCGGGCAAAAGTAATGAAAAACCACTTACCACCCCTTTTCATTCTTTTCCAGAATGACATTGCCCTTGAATCAACATGTATACTAAATGAAAGATATTTCATTGCTCAATCAATTTCTCCCAAAACACTTAATTTGATCTTTTGACTCATTTTTAACCTGTATGGCCTTCCGGGCACCAGACAAATTGTCGATACTTGTGGCAGATAAGTTTGTTAGACCACAGTGGATATCAAACATCAACAAACATGGCATCCTTCCATAGCAGAGTGTGTCATAAGTGTTATTTAGTAAAAGTGAAGCCGATGGTCAGTAAAGTACTCAGACTACTGATGTGCTGAGCACTAAACAACACTTATGACACCCTTTGCTATGGAATAGCGCCAAGTTTGTTGATGTTTGATATCCACTGTAGGTCATGTGACTTAGTGGGTGCAATTGGTATATTGTAGTTGAAATATATACTTTCCAAGACTAAATGATTTAGACAGAGTGGTCGCATGCAAAGATGACAGCCACTCACTACGAGGTGGACATGCAGATAACTGAAACATTTGTTTATAATGTGTTGTTCAGACTACACAGTGCTTTGATAATGGGTTGGATAATTTTGGTCTGGGAAGGGTTGAGTGATTTGCATGCTGATTCTTTACAGGTCATAGCAGTTGCAGCCTTGGTACATCACAAGTTCCCGATGGACAAAGCCCCACCAAAGCCTCCATTTCAACAGCATCTGTGTGGTGAGTGTCTTTGTGTCTTTCTCACTGAATACAGTTGACTCGTTACAAAATCGGCTTTTGACAAAATTCCAGTTATAACCTATGCACATCGTCAGTCCCAGCCAAATTATGCACATTCCCATAAAGAGAAAATCCGTTCTAGTGAAATCGTACAGTACGAAATTCCTTTTACAATGAAAGGTTTCGTGACTTTGTTGCGTAAAAAACATTATTGGCTCCCCACTTATAACAAGTGTTTTTAAATCCTGGATTACATTTGCTAATGGAATTAGTACATGGAGGAATGGAGTATTACATTGTTTAATCTTGGTCCGATGTACATGTAGAAACGTTTCTGTGACATGAAGGTGCATATTACATTGTTGGACTGTGTAGGTGTGCATGATCGTTAATCATCCGCTGTGGTAACCAACTACGGCATCTGTAAAAAAAACACTAAATAAAATTTAAAAAATAAAAAGGATGATGAAATGAAAAAGGTATTTTTAAATTAAGCATCTCTTTGAAAGTCTCAGAAAAAGATAATTCATCTTGGCCCTGAGCTCAAAACAGTCAAAACATAAATTAATCCCTAATTTAGGAACCTGCGATGAAAAGATTACCCAAACACTAAATTATTCATTTCATAAAGGAGTTTGAGTAAGAGACTGGCACGCCTGCCAATTAGCTTATGCACTTGCATGACACATGCTTTGGTAGACGTGACTGTCCAATCACGAACAGTACCGATACAGCATGTGAGATAAGTGGAGTGCATTACACGCAAACCAAATTCTCATGGTAGGCTTCTATATAAGTTTGGATGCGTTGACAATAGTGCCACTCAAGTTATGGTTGTTCATACTTTGAAATTTCCAACAATGCCATATGCCCAAGGAAAACAGGGATCACACGTTGACCATTACAATACGAAAGGACAATAAAAAGCCTTTCCGTGACACAATTTGTGATGGAAAGATTACTCACCAGTTGATCATGAGTCTTGGCATTCTTGTGGTTGTTACGTCAACTTCGTCCTCATCCATAAATTATGGTAGACTGGTCTTGGTTTTTTATTCCATTTGTCTTATATATAATTCAATTTTTATAAAATAATATTAAGGTTTATTATTAAAAATTCACATTATATTCGATTGATCAGGCCCTAGAAAGCAATCGTTAAATTTCTGAGTTTTTGAGCATCACGTACGTCCACATATACATGAACATGTTCTGTGTGTGTAGCATTACATACCCAATAAGGATTTACACATTATGAACCCACCAGAGACCAGCAGCCAATGCACTGCGCTCTGCATACAGTCAATTTCAGATACAACCAATGTTTTTACTAGGTCCCGCAGATTTCAAAATATCGAGAGTCAAATGTACAAGTCTTCTTCAGTGTCTGTTCCTTGAGCCTTGAAAACCCTTGTAAACGTAATTTCAAAAAGTTAAGGAATCAAGTAATGTAGATAATTAACCATATGAAAGGATTTAAGAGGTTGGTTAGAGTGGCCTGGTATGGCAATCCTAGGAGAATCTTTTTCTATTTATTAGAAAAAAAAGATTGTTATTGTTTCTTTTGTCTAACTTTCAAGATTTAAATGTTTTAGTTCCTTGAATGCGTAAGCTGATATATTTCACATTGAAAAGTACAACCTCAGTTAAAAAAAATCAACCTTAGTGAGCTTGTTCTCCACATAACATCTTTGTTTAACTCACAAATACCAAAATTTACTCTGCATGGAAATTTTAGTGTATGCTGTGCATGCTTTGCTGAGATACAAGCTCAAGTCTGTTGGTGAAGTACACTATTTGGAACTGGAAGGATGAATGGAATACACCAACACAAACCACGAAAAGTTACAATCTTATTTTCCTTGTTTTTTCATTTGTCTTTCTTTCAGCTATTTCAAAGCCAAGCGATTGCATATTTCCATATGACCTGAAAGATACCATTAAGAAGCAGGTAATTACTGAATTTCCTTTCATATTTACCCCCTGTTTATTTTATCTAATTAGTGTTTAACTGAGCAGGAAAAGTGCTGAGGTTTTTAACTTGATGTTTCATTTATGATCTCCAGAAATCCAAGGTGGAAATCATGCCCACTGAGCGTGCTCTTTTGGGCTACTTTCTCGCCAAGATACACAAAATTGACCCCGATGTCATTGTGGTGAGTAAAATTATTCTCCACCTGTGCTTTTTTCAAGGATTGATCACTTTATTACTTGCACTGATTTAATTTACTTCAGTCCCTCTTGTAATTCTGATTCTGTGATCAGTCTGCAGAATTGGCCTCGCTGTTCTACTTAATTGAGTGCTTCATCTATAATTTGGCATGAATTGTCTTTTTTTTTGCTTCCGTGCCACATTTGCATCCTGAATATCATTAAGCTTGATCTTAATGTTTCACTGTAGAACAATGACAACCATCCAGTCCGTAATATGCGAGTTTTTATTTGATTTCAGGGACATGATATCTTTGGGTTTGACCTGGATGTGCTACTGCACAGAATCACTGCCAACAAGGTTCCTCATTGGTCTCGCATTGGACGACTCAAGAGGGCAAATATGCCCAAATTGACAGTGAGATTGCTTTTCTATTCCCTGTTGATATTTTAGATGCGTGTCCATGCTTGAGACAAGATGACTACGACTGTGCTGAATATCCAAATATTTGATCGATTATCGATAGTATTTTCCAAATTTTAATATTCGAATGCAAAATTCATGAGAAGGAACAGAGAATTTTCGTTTGTTTTAAATAAGAAAAATTGCACCATGGGGGCTTGTTTCAAGCAGATTCAAATGAAGTGACAGAAATCTTACAAGATTCAAAAAGTAAATTGTCCATTAAAAAATGTTAAAAGAAAAAGAAATTTTCATTAGGGCAACAAGTATTGTAATGTACAATTATGTGTGTTATTGCAACTGATTTTGTATAATGGTTTAATCATCAACAATCTGCCAGTTGGTAAGACCGAATATTTGGATATTCGATTGAATTGAAGTTCGAATATTCGAATAGTGAATTGTTAGAATATGACTCAGCCCTAAATATGACTTGTATTTCCTTCTAGGAATGAAATTTTTAAAGTTAGCACATGGGAGTACCCTAACAAGGTAGCATTTTTATCAATACACAAAGAAACTGCAGTTTGAGGATGTAAGATAACATTAAAAAGCTAACGTTGATACTCTTCCCTTACATTACGATTTGTGCCTCTGTATAGCTTGAGGTGTACAGTCTGATTTACAAAATGGTAGTGTCTATTTGGAAGACAAAATTGTGTGGAGGAGCGTCAGACATTTGAAATTAAAATGCTGTTTGATGATTGTAGCTTTGCCTGCATCTTGAATGGCACATTTACAAAAGAATCTTTAATACAGCATTGATTGTAACTAATTTTAATCAATGTTCTGATTGTTAATAAACTAATTTGGTAAACCAGAATCAGAAAGCATTTATACTGCAGTGGCACCATACTCATTTAGTGGTAGTATCAGCTGGTTTAATGCCTCTTTGACCTGTAGAGTTTTGTGACTTGCTAAAATGCATGCAAGCTCAAAGTTAAAGTGTACACTCATGAGTGTGGTGCCGACGCAGTTATGGTGTGGCACGTCCTCAGTAGATCGTGAACAGCCGTGGTTGTATATCTGACTGGGTAGTACACTAATACGGAATAATGAAAGGAGATAAATGGTGGATTACCAGAAGCGATACAATTTGTAAATGGTGTAAACCTTTCATTGGCGGCTCTGTGGAACTGGGTTGGATGCCAAAATAGGGCTGTGCTGAATATTCAAATATGTGATTAAATGGAAGGTCAAATATTGGAATATGCAATTATTTGAATTGATCCAGCCTTATTCTAAACCACAGTCACAAAGGACTTGAATTATCTATTGCAATTGTGATGATACATTTCGTAATTTCTTCTAGAGTGGTTATGGTGGAAAGGCTGGCACCTTCTCAGAAAAGAATGCCACCTGTGGTCGTTTCATCAGTGACATCAAGATCTCTGCTAGGGAGTTGATCCGATGCAAAAGCTACGATCTCTCTGAGCTGACCAAGCAGGTTCTGAAGAAAGAGAGACAAGAGATACCATACGAAGAATTCAGGAACATGTACAGGTATGGTTTGATTTGGCTAAGTGTAAAAATCAGGCTTTGTTACAAAGAACAAGTGTACAGTAATAAAGCCGCAATGTTGTTCTCTCTTCTTCCTAGCTGCATAATCCTTGCTTAACCCTAACCCCCAAGGGTGTATGTTAAATCTTATCGAAATTGGAGGATTAGGGACTGTTAGGGTTAATGCAGCTGGCGGAATCTCTTGCTCTTATAGTGAACTTACATTAAGCGTTTATGGAGTAAGGCACATGATGTCGGACAGTATTTGTCATTTAATAAAGGCCCTTATTTATTACCATTATCCTAGCTTATTGGACTCAACATCTGAGAATTCTAAAACCATGATCTCAGCTTTCTAGGGAGTACACAGCTTCAAGCTGCCATTTCAGAAGCAATTAACTAAAACCCAGTACAAAAACTTGCTTAGGAACACAACATGCTGGATTCAAACCCCTGGTATTGTTATCAAGAGATACAAACCCACAGCACTAGATCAGCCACGTATCCCTTCATTCTGCGAACAGTAGCTCTTCACCACACCGGTAATAATCAGAATGATGTCACCGTGAGGACCTTGACAAACACCTTCGAGAGAATTTTTTATAATAGTAAATATGTTATCAAAGAATTTTCTTTTCTGGTTATTACAAAATCTTTTCACTTAACGGTAAGTTGTGCAAAGAAGCTAGTTTATGACCTTGTTCATATTATGTATTAACCATATGCTGCCATGGAGCCCGGTTTGGGGCACATAGGCTTTATACATGAAACTGGGAGCACTGGACAAAAGAGCTGGGCCTTGTAACAAAAGACTGTACTCGGAACAAAAGACTGAGCTGCTGGGAATTGCTAACATTTGTTCAGTTGTCGATAGCTGAGGAAATCCATTCTTTTTTGAGAGAGATTATAGCACTGCTGCATGCTAATCTGGCCTCTATTGAAAAGATGCGAGTAACGCATGTTGCCAGTTTCGGGAACAAAAGAAAAAGCGGCAGGCCTGGCTGAAATAGTCACCACACAGTTATTTGTGTGGGTGTAAACGTCCAGTAAGTGAAGCTATGATTTGTTTAAGAATTTTGAAAACGGAAAATCTTGAAAATCTTCTGGTTTTACGTCGTGCAACTTCAAATTCCACCAGCAACAAGTGGTTAACATGCCTGTAGGTCATGTTATGTATTAACATGCTCTTACATCCAGACAGTTAACCACTTATTGTCGACAGTAGATGTACTGCACTACTGTCGACTCTCAGTAATGCAAGCTTGGGTAAGAGGATACTTTGGTTTAGACAAGTATATTTGCCAGTCCTGACTGAATTGTGCACAGTCCTATGAGGAAAAAAATGTGTAATACGAGCTTACATGTCACGAGATTTCGGATAAGACAAGCATTGTTTTGTGCACCAGCTGAGTGCAAATCTATTGTTATCTGTCTATTTAGCACAAGCTTCTTTGAAGGCAACTTATCAATTAGCCGGTCTATTCAATTTTGAATGGTGCTTCCTTAATTTGTGCGTATACAGTAGAACAGTGCTGCAATTTTCCCTAAACGAATCAATCCGTTTGTGTCTGGTGCTGCAAGAGAGATGAACAATGGGCGTTTGCAGTTCCCGTGCCCAACATAGAAATTCTTTGAGGCAACTTTCAAACCGCCTGAACACAAGCAAGTGCCGCCAAAAGTGCAACAGTATTTAGGACAGTGGTGAACAAAAGAATTCTTTTGTTTGATATGCATACTTGTACACATGTACGCTTTACCTACTGTCAATTGGTGATACATATGGTACGTCAAGCAGGACAGCAGCTTTCGCATAAGACAAGGTACAAATAATACGAGCTAAGTCCCAAGGCCCTCATATTAACGAGAGTCGACTGTATATGGTTGACCTTATCTGGAAATAATAGCTGAAATGTCTTGAGGTTTCACAAATGAAAATATTTTACTACTACAGTTCTTTTGACTTCTTCGTAGCACATCTCGGCACTTGATGTATTTCATTGAGAATATCTGGATGGATTCCTCACATATCGTTGACATCATGTGTGAACTGAACGTTATACCCCTAGCACTGCAGATTACCAACATTTGTGGTAATGTGATGGTAAGTCAGCATGAGAAGAGTTATCATTCTTATACAGTAACAATAATTATATGGGGCTCTTCATCTGGAAAAAAAACGATCAAGGTGCAAAAATAACATTAACCCTGATCTTAAAAAAAATAAATAATCCATTCCCAGGGGAGTATACAGACTAATGCTGCTCTTTCAGGTACAAGCAACTTTCAAATCACATACGCACAGGTATTCACTTATACTCCTGGATGGAGAGTGGCCAGCAGTGGTAAAATGACTTGCCCAAGGTCACAACATGAAACCAGCTGTGGGATTCTGACTGCTGACCTCAATGATCAAGAGTTACAAACTGTCACCACAAAGCCACACACTCCCTTCACTTATGCCAATTCCCGACAATTGAGAAAATAGCAGGTTATTCATTTTGTAAAGGGACTAAGCAACACCAACATATTGGTTTGTGTGAATTGCAATTAAACTTGTCTCAAAACTTGGAAGGTTTTACCTTTTGACTCTCTCCTATTAAAAGGAAAAGAAAAGAGTTGCTCCCGTTTGGGGTAGTTTTGATTAAACTTTGGTTGGCACCTATCTGTTACAAAACCTGGAACAAGATTTGAAAGGTGAAGCTTTCAATTGAATGCTATAAAATCTTGGTAATTCCTTCTCTTGTCAAGTCTCGTACTCTGATGGGAGGTCGGTCGGAGAGGAATGAGTTTCTCCTACTCCATGCTTTCTACGAGAAGAACTTCATCTGCCCAGACAAGGAATATAAAAAGAAAGCTGCACCTGTGAATATTGTGAGTTATTAAAACAGCAGAAAACCATAATTCCGAGAAACTGCGGCATGTGTAGAGATGTACATGGACTATATCTACCGCAGATGGCCCAACGTTATTGCAGACGTAACAAATACTTCGGCAAATTTAATGTTTTTTGTATTACTTTGATTATTCACAATTCTATTTTGTGAACACCACAAAATTTTATGATTGTAAAAGTTGAAGTGCAAAGAATATATGCCTATTTTTGCACAGTGGTTGATATGTGAGGCTTCAGGAAGGCTCCTTGATAATTCTGAGGAAACTGAAATTTGTCGACAGCTTTCGGTTTGTTGCACTGACTTTTACTGGCTCTTTGTTTGTTTTCTTATACAGAATGATGAGGAAGCCAACGAAGATCAAGGAGACAAGCCAGCAGGCTCATCAAAGGCACGTCGCAAACCAGCCTACACAGGAGGCTTGGTGTTGGAACCAAAACGAGGTTTGCCGTTGAAATCAATGCACAGAAATTACATTTTGACAGAGTTGCATATCCAATGGTTTCCTCCATTGATCAAATTAAAAAGCCTGTTAAGGTTGGTCAATCAACTTGTTCATTTCTGTTCTGTCCCCACCAGGATTCTACGACAAGTACATTCTACTTCTTGACTTCAACAGCTTGTACCCATCCATCATACAGGAGTACAACATCTGCTTCACTACAATCAACCGCACACCAAGGCCAGATGAAACGGTAGATATCTACGTCTTGGCTGAAAAGTTAGAAGAAATGTAGAAGGATATTGTGTAGGGTTGAAAAAGATAAAGGTAGCCATAGCAGGAAAATAATCCCAGAGAGGAACATTGTTGAATGGTTCATAAACTGACTAGTGCTATGAGTATCTCTATTGTCATTCCAGCCATTATGAGAACGGTGTGTTCATTATCTCTATTGTCAGTTCGAGTCCTCGCCATGATGAAAGCAGCGTGTTCATTTTCTCTATTGTCAGTTTGAGTCCAGCCATGATGAAAGCAGCGTGTTCATTATCTCTATTGTCAGTTTGAGTCCAGCCATGGTGAAAGCCGCATGTTCATTATCTCTATTGTCAGTTTGAGTCCAGCCATGATGAAAGCAGCATGTTCATTTTCTCTATTGTCAGTTTAAGTCCAGCCATGATGAAAGCAGCGTGTTCATTTTCTCTATTGTCAGTTTGAGTCCAGCCATGATGAAAGCAGCGAGTTCATTATATCTATTGTCTGTTTGAGTCCAGCCATGATGAAAGCAGCGAGTTCATTATCTCTATTGTCAGTTTGAGTCCAGCCATGATGAAAGCAGCGTGTTCATTATCTCTATTGTCAGTTTGAGTCCAGCCATGATGAAAGCAGTGTGTTCATTATCTCTATTGTCAGTTTGAGTCCAGCCATGATGAAAGCAGCGTGTTCATTTTCTCTGTTGTCAGTTTGAGTCCCTGCCATGATTAAAGCAACGTGTTCATTTTCTCTGTACGTGCTTAATAAAGATGCGTTTTCATTTTATTAGCTTTATCATAATGGCTGCAATATTCTGCAAATATCTTGCAACTATTATGGTTTACTTTGATAAAGCATTGGCCATCAAAGAATAGTTTGGCAAGTAGTAGCCTTTTTGTCATCCACTTCCAAACAGACTTCTTAGGTTTGCTGTGTGCCAGTTTCATAAAAGATCAAATAATCTTGAATACCTTTTGGAATACCTTACGCTATGCACAGATTTAAGTTAGCCCATTTTGTCATCTAATGATCCTAACCTGAGGCCTCTTAGGGTTGAATAAAAACTTTCTTTAAATATCACTTATTTTTTCGAGCCCAGTTTATTTTGATTTATGGTGCGATTGTATTGCCTGATTAGAGCAGAATAGGGGAACATCTTTAATTTTACTGCAACATTTTCTTTCATTGTGTGCCTGTGAGTTTGTGCTGTATTCAGACCAAGGAGAGGAATAAGAAAAGATAACAACTTCATGTTATCCTATATCTGGAGGGAGATCTTATGTTGATAAATGATCCTCAAAGTTACATGCATGAGGTTAATCTATTAGGGGAGATTGTCATTTAAAGGAAAATTCAGTAATTTCTATCCTTAAAATTCAACGACTATGTTTGTATTCTAGGCTGACAATGATTGGTTGCCTGAGGTGCCAGATCGTTCCTTGGACTTAGGAATCCTGCCAACTGAGATACGCAAGCTGGTGGAGAGGCGTAAGCAAGTCAAACAGCTCATGAAACAACCGGACCTCAATGCTGATCTTAAACTCCAGGTAAGAAACATACAACATCCCCCCGTGCTGTACAGAAATACATTTTTTCTGCAGTGCCTTGATCAGTGATTATGTATTAGATTGTAGTCATAGATAGTCATGGAAAAGTTAATTTGGTCAGAAAGACTTTGATCATTGTCCGAAAACTGCAGATGGACCGCAGAGTTTGAATAAAAGTGTTGCACATTACCATATAAGACTAGGAACGAAAAATCCTTGCATCCTAGGTAAACACACAAGCCTGTCTCTTGCTGAAATGGTTTGGCTACAGACACTTTTGCGTACTTTGCACATGACAACGTTTAGACCATTAAAACATTTTCAACAAATGATAAACTGTTTTGAATGTTGCATTTTGTAAAGTTTGGATACCTTGTATGCGAGAATTCA